TGAACTGGCTTACTACATCACTCAGATGAAAGCTTCTAGTGAAGCGCACTGAACCACCCATTTCAGACTTGCTGACCTGGTCAACACTCTACAGACAGAGACTTGAGCAGCTGCGTTGATCGCCCGATGTTCATGCTACTCGACCGAAGGACCAGCTGCTTTTCACATCCCCCAGCTGCAAGCTCATCACTGGGCGAAGAGTTATCTTCTACTGGCCTTTAAGAAGTGCGTTGGCTCAATCCTGGCACGCTAGCAAATACGGTGACGCGATCCATCTGGCCAAGGCTGCTGGGATGATACTACGGGGACATGCTTCAGCATGTCACACTTCAGCAGTACATTTCATGAAGGATGCATTGAACAGGCTGTTCCACCATCACTGCCTTCAATTCTGTATGCATGATCGAACATGGCAGATATCAACCTAACCCAGCATGGCGCGCATCGAAGTCTGACCCTGTTATGTCACAGCTCTTACAGTACAACTGCTTTACCAACTACAAGGTAGGAACACAACCACAGACACCCATGACCGTGACACACCTTTTTGGCGTTATCTACGTCGGCACAAGTGTCTGTGTTAGCTAAGACAAGAGAGAGGCAGCTCATCGACAGGCTGTGCGAAATGGGGTCAGTATTTATATGACAGAGTTCTACACTATCAGCCCCGCTAGGAGAAGCAGTTGTACAGTACGTGAAGATGGAGTGGTGTGTCCACCAATCTTACAGAAGCAGTTGTTCACGACTTCAGCAGTGGCCAAACATTGGATCACAAACCACTGCGACTACGGCCAAAACGTTCTTCCATGGGGATTCAGTGTGTCCATCTTCCAAACATCCAGGTCCTGGAGCAGGCTGGTGAGAGCGTGAACCACCGGACGGAATGCAGATACGATGGTCAAGAAAGTTCCTGAGCTTCCAGATATTCATCAATGTCCGTCCAGCTTATATTATGAAGAATCCCAATCCTCCCTTGGTAGCACCTCAGTCATTGCCAGCACCTGAGTCAATCCAGTCACACCTGCAGGGAGAGTATGCTTGGCTGGAAGAGGTCTTGCTCACTGAGGATGTGTCTGATGAAGTCTGCATCACGTGGACAGCTCACCATGCAGCACAGAAGAGGGGTCAGTGGGCTGCCTACCAGGCTGGTATCATCTGGGGCCAGGCAACAATCTCCAGTCCAGAAACCAGCAGTCCTGTCAACTGGGGGCGGACGCAGAAGGGAGAGGCATGGCAGATACGTTGGAGACTCTTCCCGGGACAGGTGACATGCTGTCAGAGCTGACCAAATGTTCCTGTAAGAAAGACTGCAACCAGAGATGCAACAAGCTTGCCTGGACTTTTCCTGCACAGCACTTTGTGCCGTATATGAACAGCAAAATGCACCAAGATGTACTCACAGGAGAAGTCACAGGAACCAGTGCTAATAGTGTGTACTTATTTTTAGTAAGTTCTTTTGTTATATTTTTTTTTTTTACTAAAAAGTGTTATTTTATGATAAATGTTACAATGGACTTAAAACTATAAAAAATCATCTGAGCATGCTTTGAAAACATACATATCGACACCAAGATCACTCAGATTGACCAACTACATCAATTTCTATAAGAAAAACATCTTTTGAAGGTCAATATGGCGACATTCGGAAAATGGCCGCCATCTTGGATTTTCAAATGGCCAATCAGGCAGACTTGACTAGTAACCATTAGAGAATTACCATGCCAAATTGCGTCTATATCACCATTTGCATGATTCTCTTGAAAAATGGCATTTAGCTGCCCCACTACAGTACTTGCCAACAGTGTGTAGAGACGTAACCGATCAGTGGTGAAGGGATAAAATAAAATATAAAACGAAAATAACTGTTGCTTGGGATAGAAAATAATAAAAAACACAGACAAATTATTAAAGACGAAAATAAAAATTATATAAACATTGTTAATATGCTTGTTTGTTTAAGAAGATAAGAATGGAGGAAACTGCAGCGGGCCTATTGGTCCATACTGGGCAGTCCCATTTACACCCAACCCCTATTGCTCATATATCCACCCAACCTGTGTTTGAAGCTATCCAGCGTATTAGAATTAATGATGATATTTGGTAACTTGTTCCACTCATCCACTACTCTATTTCCAAACCAGTATTTACCCTTTTCGCGCCTAAATCTAAATTTGTCTAATTTAAAACCATTGTTACGAGTTCAAATTAAGATGCTTTAACCTGTCTCTGAACTCAGGTTCCTAATGTGGAATCGTTTTCTTTATTAGACGATTAATATTCATGTATAGTAATAACAATAATTTTTAATTTTTTCTGTATTTTGTTTATTTACTCATGTTTTAATCGTTTTCTCTATTAAATAATTAATATTCATAGATAATAATAACAATACGTCTCGAGTCGTCTGTATACATGTGTAATTTCTATTCGTGTAAAATAATAACTTACAATTTGTCATTAATACCAGCGACTGTTAGTGGTGACGAAACGGATTTGATATTGGTGACGAAATGGGGTTTTGGTGACGAACCGGGTCAGTGACGAAATGGATTGGCGACGAAATTGGGTGTATCCTTGTTTAAAATGGGCAGGGCTTTGGAGTCGAGGAAATGGGTAAAATACTAAAAATAACACCAAACAAACGTATGAAAACCTGATCTAACCTTTCCTAACTTGTAAAAATATTAAGAATCACTTGAGTTTATGAATCCATCCTCATCTGAATACCGAAAACAAATTTAAAAACGGAAATCAGGGCCATCACGTACTAAACACTGAAAACATGAATAAGGTCAACTTTTTAGGATTTTTACAGGTTAAGAAATGTTAGTTCAGGTTTTCAAATGGTTGTTTGGTGTTAATTTTAGTATTTTACCTCACATTTTCCCTCAACTTCAAAGCCCTGTTTACTTTAAACAAGTAATATTGCTGGTAATTGTATCTATTAAAACACAAGAAAATATACATTTCTAATGGAAATGCCATAGAAAAGTGTCTTAGAATAGTCTGAACTCTGTGAAAAACATTTTTTCATAGAATTGAAACCTGGCTACTATCATAAAGTGACCAAAATTTACAAAAAATTAAAATCTGTATTGAGGTTCAATATGGGGTTAATATTTACAAGTTACCAACACCACCTATATTAAACAAAAATTACTTATCTGGTACCAACGTAAGCAACTTTGTTGAAGTGCCATAGTGACTCGGCAGAATTTTCTGATGATTACTTCGGTAAATAATTAATTTCTTCACTTACAAAGCATGTAGACATAATTTTAGTGTCATGATCAGTTTTCACCGTGTTTTACCCCACAGTTTCCCTCATCCTTCATACCCTGCCCACTACAGGTGATTAATGATCAAAGATAGAGAAGAAAAAAAAAACTTAGCTTAAATTAAATGCTGGTTTCATTGTTATATCTTACCATCATCATTCTAAAGAACGTGTGTGGGAAAACTGAACTCAATCAAACAACTTCTGGTGTTTGCCATCTGTTCCACTTTTACCATATTTTTTTTTATATTTTTTATTTCAGTTAAAAATACAAAGTGGGCAGAACTTTGAAGTACATTGCTTGGTAAAAACATTCAAGAACATCCCCAAAAAGATGGAGATTTTTTTTTCTCGCCAAACAATAAGATGATTAACAACTCCTATCCATGCCTTATGTGTAAACTTAACCTAACACACATAAATTTATAAAGAAAACGCTATAAAGTTCTCCCTTGTTTCTCTTATCACCATATGTGTAAATCAATAAGCTGTACATTAGAGTTCGTGGTTGATCTTTCCCTAATCTTAACTACTTCGCATATTGTATATTTAACTGGCCAAAAAAAATCACTTGTACCTTTCTTGACATTGGACGAGTCAGAAAAGTTGCCTTAGTACCAGACACTACAGTACTACATTACATAATTTAGTAATACGTATTAATAAAGTGAATATTTACACACAATTGCAGGGTTTCAATTGTTTCTCTTACATTGACAACACAAAATACATAGAGTATATTGTTTCTCACTACTGTCTTGGTCTTTTTTGTATTTTTTATTATTATTATTATTATTATTATTATTATTATTATTATTATTATTATTATTATTATTATTATTATTATTATTATTATTATTATTATTATTATTATTTCGCCCCCAGGTCCCGATGTGGGTCATTGACCTGTGCCCTGGTGGGCCAATCCTGTAAATAAATAATAAAAACAAAAAGTAAAAATTTTTGGCCCATTTTATGAACAATCAATTATTTAATGTAGCAGTTATCTGGTTCAGTTCCCTGTCTTGCCAAACATCAATACAGACACTCGTGATTTTGTGCCTGTTGACTACATGTACTGTACAAGATTCCAAGGTTGGCTTAGGTCTCATAATGAATATATAATTCTTATACGTTCTGTAATGTATACCTCTTTAAATGAATGTTGTGTTTTTTACCTAATTTAACTTAACCTAACTTTGGAGCTCCCACAGTGCAGTACAGTGGCCTGAAAGTTCCTCTCATTTTTGCACATGCACATTATTATCAAAGGGACTCGGGGGTGGAGAGACAGGATAAATATTAAACAATCCAAAGGTAGAATTTTTTTAATAATAAACTATTCATTGTTATTTAAGATAATGAGAAGTTTCCAAATGTTATAGTTGAGTTGCCAATTCATTAATATAATTTCTACATTATTTAGCCAAATATACGAACTTTTGGAAACCACATGATTTTAAATAATAATGAATAGTTTATTATTATAAAAATACTCCCTTTGGTTTGTTTAATATTTATACTCACAGAGATACAGCCAAAAATAGACCCACCAATCACAATCACCTTTACATACAGCCTTCCTTTACCAAGTATTGACAGGTAAAATTGCCAGTACGAGACTCAGGGTGGGGTTGCTGGATCTTTGGCTGACTGTACATGTTATTGCCAGATTATAAACACATTTATGTAATCAGCCTATTGACCAGTCCACTTTCCCCAGGTTTGGCAGCACCAGAGGATCATGGAAGCAGTGATTTTAGCCACAACAATGGTGATGAAGTTCCTGTTGCTGTATCCCCAGAGTTGTTTCTGGCAGAATCTAATGAACGAGAATCTACTCCAGCACCACCCACTCCTACTCCACAGAAACCAGGTAGAATGGATTGTTGCTTTTCTTTGTCGTCTCATTATTTTGCACATCAGTTAAAAACAATTAGGAATACAATATTTTATAATTTTGGTGGTAATTTCACTATTATTTTCTTGTATACTGTAGTCTGACTTGATTATGATTATACCCTGTAAATGTACTGTAGCTAACGGTCATGCTGTGACTCATAAATAAATTGATCATGACTGGTGTACCTCAATAATTATCGATGCAGATAGGTACTGGGAAAAGTCGTTGGATAGTAAATCAACGGTTAAAGACGCATTTAATCCCATACAAATAGAACAAATTCAGGGGGTTAGGGGCCATCTTCCAAAAACTCCCACTGGCAAGCAAGAAAATATACCAGACATATATACAAAAAAATTTAACCACAGTAATGTACTTACAGGAAATACTGTATTTACCTGTGTTGAACCATTGAGTTGATATTCCTCCCTGAGACTGGAGGAACATGTTGGCTGGGGTGAAGGGTCGTCAGGATCCTCAAACCCAGTGAATATAGGTGGAGACTCTGGCTGAGCGGCTGGTTGATGCTTTTTCTTCCTAAAATGTTCACAGACGGCAGATGAAGTTGATGGTTGAGGCTCATCTGATTGAGACTTCAAGAAATCTGTGACCTTGGCTTGTTTTACCTGCTCTTTCTTCCGGCGGTGAAGCTCATTGTAGCAGCCGGACAAATCCTCGAGGCCATTCCGAATTTTGAAGCTGCGTTCAGGATCAGTGTCCATGTCAAAAATTATCTGGCTGGTGGTCTGCATGCTTTCCAAGATTATATCAAGCTTGGCCAAAGTTAAAGTAGGGAAGATGCATGGTGACTCCTCTGCTTCCTGCACCTCCAGCTCCAACAGGTTCTCAATACTGACCTCCTTTTCACGAGAGACAAGGAGCTCAGTGACTTCCACTTCTGTGACATCATTGAAGTCAGAGAGACAATTGTCTTGCTGACCTCAGGGACATCTGGTGCATGGTTGAAGCCCCGTAAGCTAGGACAGCCTCAGGCCAAAGCCATTGCCACTCACTATTCATCATAGCAGGTGACAATTCCTCCCAGGACTGTGTCATGTTGTCAACGCCTTTCTTGATGCTGTATGATTTTCAAAATTCTCACACAGACACTCTACCACTGTCTGTTTCAACTACCAGCTGTGTCATAACATGGCATGTGTAGAGAGGGGGCTGGGTATCTCATGAGAGCTGCCTAGCATAAAGGTATCTCATGAGAGCTGCCTAGCATAAAGGTATCTCATGAGAGCTGCCTAGCATTAAGGTATCTCATGAGAGCTGCCTAGCATAAAGGTATCTCATGAGAGCTGCCTAGCATAAAGGTATCTCATGAGAGCTGTCTAGCATTAAGGTATCTCATGAGAGCTGCCTAGCATAAAGGTATCTCATGAGAGCTGCCTAGCATAAAGGTATCTCATGAGAGCTGTCTAGCATGGGTATCTCATGAGCTGCCTAGCATCTCATGAGAGCTGCCTAGCATAAAGGTATCTCATGAGGCTGCCTAGCATTAAGGTATCTCATGAGGCTGCCTCATAAGGTATCTCATGAGAGCTGCAGGTATCTCATGAGAGCTGCCTAGCATTAAGGTATCTCATGAGAGCTGCCTAGCATAAAGGTATCTCATGAGAGCTGCCTAGCATAAAGGTATCTCATGAGAGCTGCCTAGCATAAAGGTATCTCATGAGAGCTGCCTAGCATAAAAGTATCTCATGAGAGTTGCCTAGCATAAAAGTGTTAACCATAAATGGGAGACTGGTATTGAAATCACTCCTCAAGGTGGCAGGGGTCATGAGTGGTCAGTGGGAACTTAATAAGAAATAGAAAATTGATCTGAGTCAAGGATGATGAACACTAGTCTTGGCATTGTTGAAACTGATATGGTAGTCATGATGCTATTGTCATCTACTGTATTTTAGGGCAATTGATGTACCAAAAGTCCTCTCATTTGTGGTCAAAAGTGCTGGGGGGGGGGAGGGGAGGGAAAGGTATGAGTATTAACAGAAGAACCATGTGGGACTTACATTGTGTTCCTGATTTCAGGATCAATCTTTTTTTCTTTTTCTTACGAGTTTTGAATATTGGTGATGTGTAGGATTTTCTGTATTGTATGTCATCAAAAGAGGAAGGTAACTTTTTCCATTCTTTCTTCCACAGAGAGTTATCAGTTGAGGCATAACAACCACCTGACCATTGTCCTCGAGGCATTGGCCAGAGACGAGTCATTCATGGATGTCACACTAACAGCTCAGGGCCGCTCTCTCAAAGCTCATAAGGTACAGTCTACTACTGAATTTTTGTGTCAATATACAGTATAACTAAACTATATTCAGCTATTATACCTCTTCTCTTCACACATACTGTTTAGATTTTCCTAAGAGTAGCCTTTTTAATCTTGTGCAAGATGGGTGTTACCCTTTAAGATACAAGTGTCATGTTTTACCCATCATTCAAACATCACCTGTAGTCAGAAAAGGACATAAAAGATCTCCAGGAGACAAACTACACTTGGCAACACAATTGTCCTGATTAATCTTACTGTTTATACAATCATTCAGCTCACTTTTTATTGTTTGTCTGTTTAACAAACTTACAAAAGAGAAATATAGCAGGTAGTAAGTCTTGTTTTGCATTGTGTATGCTAAGTTTTATGGACCAAGTACAGCCTTATGTTTTTATAAAATAAAATTGTTCAAACAATCATCAGGTAATTACTTGTATTGAAAGTTTTGTTTCTGTTAGGATCACTGTTCCATTAAGCTGTCAGTAAACTGGATTAATTTTGTATCCACTGTACACAACAGTGACCTTCAGAACAGTTTGTAACTCAGACTTTTTTAAAATTGTGTAATTAAAGAGTTTTCTTGTTTGTGAACATTTTGATAGTTAGTAGTAGATGTGAGAATCTACGTTACCCCTACAGTCATACATCAAGTTCAGATACTGTATTGTACCTGGAACTTAAAGACTTATTCTGGGAAAGTCTTATTTACTACCTGTGTTTTTTTAATTGCATTGGAGTAAAATTACAGTATTAGAAAACTATGTTCATTCACATTTTACATTTCAGTCTGTACTGTCAGCTGTAAGTCCATATTTCCGAGGTGTACTGAGAGACAATCCGTGTCAGCATCCAATCATTATCATGCCTCGAGATGTGCGCTTTGAAGAACTTTTCAGCATTGTTAATTACATATACAAGTAAGTCTCTCTGATTGTTGCTCCATCAACACACACACTACTACTTTGCTGTCACTCGGAATTGAGTATGACGATCATCCAGCTATGGTAAAATTATGTGTGTTATTAAGGATGTCACCTTCATTGGTGAGTTCTTAGGTGACCTGACATTGCATCAGAGGTCAGCAATATGAGACCACCCTACCTCCACCTGACATTGCATCAGAGGTCAGTAATATGAGACCACCCTACCTCCACCTGACATTGCATCAGAGGTCAGTAATATGAGACCACCCTACCTCCACCTGACATTGATTCAGGCCAAGTCAATTACATGAGACCCACTAAACCCCCCACAGCTCCATGGAAGTGGAAAATACCAGTCTTTGCTGTAACACACAGCTTCATTCACGCCAGTATCATAAATATTTTTAGTTTTTAAATATATTTTTTAACCAAATTTTTAGATAAACTATTCTGGATTATTCTAGTAAAGAAATTGAGTCTCTTACTCAATTAGAACTGCTTTGACAGACTGGTAGTATAGACTCACAAAAAACATTCTGGGGAAGTGGGCTAGTTTCTGTCTGTGTAAGATGCGTAGTATAGACACTCGGAAACTTTTCCCAGTAACCGGAAAAGATTCTGGGGATAAGGAATTTTCCTGGTTTGAGAAAGTCGTCAAGTTACCTGGAAATCTCATCCCCAGAAGTGCTCTGCACCAATTGTTCCGGCTAATGGGGATATCACAGTAATCAGTGTGTAAGTCTTGAAGTTGTATCTCCAAGGTGCTAACTTGTGACTGGGACCTAATTACATACCAAATAAATTTGATAAATAGTTAATGCTTCACCTTCATACCAGAGTCATGATAAGAGGATGCCTTAAGAGGGAGAAGACTGGAGTGTAACATGTAGTACTCTACTCTGAGTTCATTTGTTGATATTAGTTACAGTCTACTAACCAACAACCACAAGTACTAGTACTGTTCCTCCTCTGACCTTATACACCACCAAGTCTCTCTTTTTGTGTGTGTGAGAATAGACAATTTATAGGGAGTTCTATGGCCAGTATAGTCTTAGGTATTTATCGTAGAATCCCAGTATGTATCTGGGTAACCTGATGATTCAACTAACCAACACCAAAATGAAATGCAGTGTAATAATAATAAGAATAAAATGTTTCTCCAAAATCAGCGATATCCTTTCCACGCTAACCTGGCCCATAAGCCACACCCTTCTTCTGTACTACTAGCTGATTAGTTAATATAAAATTCAAACTAAATGTGTTTGTTCACAATTGGTAAGCAGACCTGTTATTATAAAAAATAATGTTAAATATATGAACTATTAAATGCAAATGATTTCAAGGCATTAGCACTTCTGAGAGGATGCTAGAAAATTTTAAATATTTATCATAAAAGGTTGATATACATACGTGCTTACATACGCACAGTCTGGGGGGAGGTAAAATGCTCAGGGGAACCGGTCAGCTATGTGTAACTATAGACAAGGGGTGTGGCTTACGGGGCTGGTTTCCGTGGAATTACTATAGAATTGTTAGTTTGAATACTGCTCACAATGAGGATGAGCTGCCATATTTATTGCTATGATAAACCAAAAAATTGATACATAGCATATCTTAAAAAATACAAAACCCATTTTTTTTACAAAAAAAAATAGCTCCTTCCACACTCGAGCCATCCTCTAGGTGATGCAACACAGTTCCAAGCCAGGCATTCACCGAGCTGACTCACAGAAATGTGGCTGCCATGATGAGAAAAAATTATCTGATTAATTAACTTACAGCAGACAAGATAAAGCCTGAGCAGTGCTGAGAGCAAATAGTACACAACCTTAATGGTGACATTTTCCCGGCTTGTGTGGGTTAGCTGTGGTTACCTGATGGCAGCTCTCCATCCTGCATGGTCTCTTGCATTCTCTCTTTTCAGTTCTTAATTCTAATCTCATTTTTAATAACCTCTCCTCCCATCCACATTAGACTCATGCACCCCTTTGGCCCAATTGCTCTCACCCATTCTCTCCACATACCAAACTTTCTCAACCTGCCTCTGCACAGATCTTTGCTAATACTAATCCCAATACCCAGCTCTGAACAGGACCTCCTGTCTTTCAGTGTCACATTACACATCCATCTCACCATTTTAATTTCAGCTCACTCAAGCCTACTCATGTCATCCTCTTTAACTACCTATGTTTGACTGCCAAACACCATCATACTTCTCACACCAGCTGCTTCTGTTCTTCCTTTCACATGCTGGGAGGATTCTCTTGCCATCAATAAAGGCAGCAGCTCCCTAAACTTCCTCCAGCACTGATCACATCGTCCAGGTAACAGAACTCATTGAAACAGCCAAGGAACATACCCCTATGTTGAGTTTCTCCAGATTTTATTTTATTTGTTGTATCCATTTACTTCCAACTGTGGCAACACATGCATTTAATATCACATACAAAGATGAAGAAATGGAAAATGGATTGTGATACAGTATTCTGTTTTATAACCTAGTCAAGACAGAGCAAATATGTGTGCTCAGCAAGTTAACCCCTTCTCAATCCTAGCCATGGTTGGAAATTTCAACTATTCGTGGTCTTTTGATGCAAATAGCGTAATTCAAAATCTCACTCCCAATAGTGATGCATCTGCCAGCCCAAGAGGCTAGTGGGAGGAGCTTAGGTGGTTGCCAGGGACCATTGTTACACGGACAAGGGAGTTCCTGGGTTTGTTCGTCCGTTGTTCTCCATGTTGAGCCGGACGCTCTCGTATGTCTCCATTTTCGTAGCAATTTACTGAAAAAAAAATGAAAGTGAAGAAAAACAAGTGCCATTAGTGGCCAGAATTGTTAGTGTATGTGTGGATAATATAGTGATAGAGCCTGTGCTTTTATTTTCACTACAGTGGAAGGTGAAAAGCAACATGATGCTTCCCCATTTGGGCACAAATCACAAGCAAAATGTTCTCAAAGATGTAGGGGCAGGAACTACTTTGGGCTTCAATTGTAGGTCTTCTGGAAATAAAGTTTGGATGGCCGAGGAACTTCTCCCAAATTCCACTATGTTATGATGGGATCCCCAGTCATAGTCTTGCCAAGGAATGTATCCCCTATGATTAGAGAAGGCAACCTGTACACATAATTATGAACACACTTTATTGCATAAACTGACTTGCATAGAGAAACACATAACATTTGAAAGTTAAGTAGCTTGCAGATTTTTTACACAACTTGCTTAATTAATTAGAGACTTCAGTGGTTCATAGTTTCTGATATGCTGGAATTGTCAAAATGAAATTTTTGAATCAAGCAATGACAGAATTGTTTGAAAATGTATTTAATGTAATTTCGATATTTATTATAATTTTTAGGGGTGAAATGACAGTAGCAGCTGAGGATCTAACTTCACTTCTCAAGACAGCAGAGATTCTACAAGTCTCAGGCTTGGCACCATCAGATTCCTCAGCGACTGTAAATCCTCACACTGAGTCCTCAACGGCTGGCAATGCTCGGTCTTCATCTGCCTCCTCTTCATCCTCCTCTTCCAATCTTCCATCAGTATCCAAGACATCAAGAATGGTTAAAACATCAACTCAGCAAACCACAACTCCACCAGCAAGACCCAAATCAAGAGACAGCATGATTAATCCCACAGACTTCATGGATGTTGACATGACCTGTGTAAAAGAGGTAGGTGAATTTGAAACTTTCCAGATGATGTTTACTTTGCCATGTCCAGTTTACTGTGTCTCTATTGTACTAAAATTAATTGTCCTTACTGTTTATTACCGAAATGTATTGTTATTATATATTGTCATGTCTTACATGATTTACAGCTGTGATATGATTGAGACCAATGACTGACTTTCCTGATAAACTTATAGCATTTATTACTTGGTACCAGTTCAGTGCAACCCTTGAATATGCTTACCAATATTGTTAGGTTTGCCCTATACAGGGGCCCACAAGTTTGTGGATTTTTATTTTGCAGTCCTCTATTATTTGTGGATGACACCCTGGATGTACCCAAGAATGTCTGTGGGTAGTTTTTAAAGTTGCAGGCATTTTAGCGGCCGGGACAGGGATAAAACACAGAGATTGCTTCTGTCTTTAATAATGATTATTACTGTGGCATGCAAACTTAATTAGTTCTGTCTTTACAGACTCTGGTAGTTTAGACCCGAAGAAAACATTCCCAGCACCCAGAAAAGTTCTGGGGAAGTGGGCTAGTGTCTGTGTGTGCAAGATGTCCAGTTTAGACTCTCGGAATCTTTTCTCAGTAACCGGAAAAAATTCCGGGGAAAAGGAATTTTTCCGGGTTTGAGAAAATAGTCTGGTTAGCCAGATATCTCTCATCCCCGGAAGTGCTCTGCACCAATTATTCTGGCTGATGGGGATATCACTGTACTTGTTGCTTTATAATGACCTCTAATTAATGGAAAATTTCAGCTACGGTATCTGTTGGGTTTTTCAGTGGGGCAGAGAAACATAAGCAGCAGTCTCCTTTATTGTGTGATAACCAGACAGCAACTGTCTCCTGAGTCTGGTGACGCCTGGTACTCACTGCAGCCAGCGACCCTGGGAAAATATCTTGTATTCTAAAATAACCTGCTACACACAAATTGCCTACACACTGTATGATTGTCTGTCAAAGAAAATTGCATGAGAGCAAAGTCAAGTAACCTGACAGCTGTGTTCAGAGTTGAAAGACTTTTTGTTGATAAAAGTAACTTAGCTTACCTGTTCATTTCCACAAATCCTACTATGCCATTTATAATTTAATTGCATTGGTTCCAAATTAATGCAAGAACTCAATACAGACAATACATGTTGACTTATAAAATCATAAAGTTTGACACCCCAAAACATTTGGATCATCTTCAATCACTTCTGATAGCTGTTTCAGGGCCCTACCTAGTGGTTTATCTGAATGTTCACTTGTGGCTGGACTCAGCTTTGACTTTCAAGAAGCAGCTTTATTTTGAAACTACTATATGATCTGTGGTGATGTATTCAAAGAGACAGACAGTGCTTTCTTAAACTAACTGTTAATGTTATAGTTGTATTGCTCTGTCTTTCTTGTTGGTCTCTTAAGTATCTATATAGTACTGTACTGTATGTTTAGCATTAGGGATTTTCCCTTTAAAAAAGAAATACTTTTGAGGAATAGATATGAGCTATAACTATTCAATCCTCCTCATTATAATTATTTTTGTTACAGGAAGTTCAGAGTGCAGATGAAGAGGAAAGTGAAGAGCAAGTCACAAAAGAGTCTTCTTCCCAGCCTCCAGGAGGTGGAATGAAAGGAGATCAGACTTTGCAACACAGCTTAACAACATTTTCACCTTCTTTTGACCCAGACCTTGAACAACCAACAGCTTCCACAAGTTCATCTCAAGATATTAGTCCTACCACACTTCCTATAAAATCTGATCCAGAAACTGAAATAAATCCCTTGGGTACTGTTGGCACAGAAGACCCACATCCATTTATGTGCCCACACTGTCAGGAGCACCACAGAGATATGGACACTATGATCACCCACTTGAGAGTGAGGCATCCCACCAAACCCAGTTTTACTTGTGGATGTGGTCGTGTATATACTCGACAAATGCTTCACCAGGCACATGCAAGGATGTGTTCTAGTTTGTCTTAAATTTTAGAGTTCAGTATGAAACTAGAAGGGTGTTATTTAAAGTGTCTAGTAAGACTCAGTTGTGGAATCCAATTTTTGTAAAAATCTTTGATATGACAAGCTCACTCCTTGTTCATATATATTTCTTTACAGTGCAATCACAAGCAAAGCTGAAATGCATAAGATATGGCTTTTAAGTGACATTACACCTGGCAGATATTGTGTTGTATATCATACAAGTAGACCATAACAAGACTGAATTGATAGTAATCCCGAGTAACTCCCATCAAGGTGAAAGTATGTAATTGATTTTTTTTTAAGATATTAAAAGAAGTATAAGCAGTATACATTACTATCAGCAGAGCAACTTGTAACTATGCTTATAATACAGTATTCAAAGTAACTAATAGCCTTATGCTTGGCTTTGGCAAAGCAAGTGTAGCCAGACAAGTCTACAGGTAGAAAACTCAGGTTCCCACAACCCAGATATTGTTGACTGGAACTAATTTGAACATTGTTTTACTTCACTACAGTATTGCAACTCGATTTTTTACTGAAAAATGAGTATAGATGAAGATTGTTCCTGATCCCCATATAACTTTGCTATAAAGCATCACTTACTGGGTTGACCCCTCCAGTAAAGTGAGCAATAAAAGCAGACATCTCTTCTTTTTTGTCCTTTTTGGAACTGGAGGGTGTAGTATTACAGGTACAGTTCTGGATGTTTTACCACATTGCATGGGTTTGTTTATTGATCTTGTTTCAAATTGGTTGGCAAGTTGATTACAAAACCTTCTCAACCCTGCATTATGCCTATACATCATGGTGTGTAACTCAGCTCTCCCACTATTGTTTTGATCTAGATGTCTGATGATTCAGATTAGAATTTTGGAAAACTTTCATTTTATCTGTCAGTTGGGAGGACATATCCTCTCAGGGGTTTATTTTGTGCTCCTTTGCCTTCAATTTAGAATTTCAGGGAATCTGACTGCTGACATTATCTGGATTGGATTATTCAATGAGGAGTAATCATTTTCCTCATTGTCTGTTCCCGTTTTAATGGGAAATCTTCACTTTTGACTTACTTTAAAGTCCATTATCCTAGTTAACAAAACAGAAGGGACTGAATCCCATTATTGCTTATACAGTCATTTCTGCTACAACGCGTGTTTTGTCAATGTGAATTGGCTATAACGCAATTGATGACTAGAAGAACGATATTTGTAAAACGCGAACGTGTGTTGGCTGTAACGCGATTCCACTCGAACGTTTTAAGTGTACTGTCGCTTGGCGCGGGGTTATGCAGTGTTTACAGTTCACGTTCGACATCACATGTTCAATTGATTCGTGTATTTTGTTTGTGAAGTGTTATTTGATAGGGACTCTATAAATTTCAAACCTTTTTTTGCAAATTTAGCTGTTCCCATAAATACTGTATGAAAAAAAAAATAATAATAATGTTTCGCAGTGCGTACTAATAGCGTTTTACACCAGCGCTCTCTGTTTCCATCACACGATCAGTTGAAACACGTGGGTTGTTTTGAAGCGTCCTCAGAGAGTTTTGCTTACTATTTCTCCAATTTTGTGGTATTAACTGTGAATATGGAAAAGAAGAATATCTCCAAGAAGCGTTCTGGTGATCGCACTCCCAGTGGTGATCGTAAAAGAAAGGCTATAACACATGAAGAGAAGCTTGATGTTATCAACCTCAAAATCACCCTTCTCCCCCATCAAGTTATATTCATATTTTTTCAAGGTAAAGTGTTACATTTACTGTATGATTTCATTATTAGGTATGAATGTAACATTTATTTAGACTGTGCTATCCTTTTGTTAGGCTAACTACTAAATTTTTTACAATTTCGAGTAATCTGCACCTAACCCTATTTTCTCCATAAGCCCTGTTATTTCTATTGCACGAATTTTTACAACGCGAGGTTTTACTAGAACACAACTATCACGTTGTAGCAGAACTGACTGTATTGGAAGGACTCTATGAATAATGTATTTCACATTTTCAGATGAAATGCCTAAGTTAGCTTTATGTGCATCCAGGTTGTGAGTGGATGACCCGCATCTGTGTCAGTCAAGAATCCCCCTTTATTTTTTTTTATTGATCTACACTAAATTTAGTTGTTCATATGAATAGCACATTTTCCTGCAACAGATTTTCTTGTGTTTTGGTTACAGAATTCCCTTCTCATATTGGATTTTAGGCAAGTTGCCCAATAAACTTCATGTTTGACAAAAGGAATGTGGTTTTAGGACAGTAGTTGATATTTCCATGTTAAGTTTTGTTTTGTGTGTGGGGAGAATTGTTTACATTCTTGATGATTGTTTTCTACCCCTTAGGTCACCAAGTTTATACAGGTCCTAGGAATGCATCCTGATGTGATTTTTATTTTTTTTTTATTTTTTTTATTTTTTTTTTACTCCAATACAAAGTAGTGGTTTCAGAGCAGAGTTCCTCATACTTTTGACTGGGCCTTTGGCCAGATAAATACTTCAATAAAAACCTCAAGAAAGATTATGTGACTGACATAATACATTGCCATCATGTAGCAAATCTTAGCTGAAGTTATGTTTGGATAGGAACAGATTCAGTATGTTCACCAGACTTTCTCTTGTTCTTCATGGCCTTGTGCAGCAGAGCCTCTGTATGTGAGGTGGGAAAGGCTTTCCTTCCAGATTTTGTCCTTCATTGGCGTATGTTGGGGCACTTAAGAGAACTCCTCTCCACATAAAGATGGTGCCCAAACCTTTCTAGGGTTTCATACTGTGTAAGTTTGATTAATTTCCATGTTTCTAGGTCTTCAATTCTGAGGAGTATATCACGGACAGTGTAAGAGCATTATTGAAAGCTTATTGTGGCAGCTCATATAAACATTTTCCATGGTTAGTGGTTCTGATTTTAAGCGGCCCTCGCGTGGTCAATATTTATTGACAATATTTTAATTATTGTTAGAATCATCCTCTAAAGCAGCCCTCATACGATTAATTTTATTGTCAATATTTGAATATTGTCAATAAATATTGACTGTGTGAGGGCCACTTTAGAGCAAGGCTTTGGGGCTCTGATTTGCACTCCTTGGATGTATCCAAGTTACATTGATCATAGGCTCCTCTGAGCATGCAGAAAAGAGACTTAGTTTCTGTGTGGTTATTTATGCATATGGGATTATTATCATAGTTACTCTGATTTTTGCTGTGGTGGATATTTTCTTCTTTCTTGGACCTTCTGTCATTTATGACTATGTAATGTATAAATTACTGGGGCAATACTGCCAGGGCAGAGACTTTATCTGGAAAAGGATGAGTACCAGTACATCTGATGAGGATGGGATCTTGGGGCCTTCCTATGTTTTGTATTTCATGGACTTCACCATTTGTAATTGGACCTGTTTTCAATGTCGACTCTCGCCGGTTAATGAGGTAGTTGTTCTTACTCCTTTTCATTAGCCTTAATATAAACAGTGTTGGTGTCCTGGGAACCATTAGTTTTCAACCCATATGCTTGCCATATACTTAAGTAGTCAGTGCCAGGCATCTGGCTGTGGAATGGAAATTCAGGATCAGTCTCTTAATTTTCTTAAATTTACATGAATTCCTTATGGTTTTAAATTTTTTATTTATATTTATATTTTTTTTTCTAGCAACGAATAAGGAATTACTGTACTTACCATCTTTATATTGAAGTAAAACAAAGTTTAGGATGATGATAAACAAGAATGACAGTGAGTAACCTGTGTACATTGTATATAAATATTTGGTAATGTTTACAGTATTTACATTATATTTTGGAAGTACTTGTTCATACAAACACATTTTCTTTATGATTTTTTCCACATTATATTTTTACCTGAGGTTGTCTTCTTTTAAATTAAGATATTGTGTGGAGTATAAGAATTTATAAATGTACAAACTAAAATAAAACCAAAGTTGATTAGAGTTTTATTATTAACCCCCTTATGTACAGGGTCATCTCTGTACTGAATAAAATCAAATATTAAAAGATATACAGCACTGTGTTTTATGTTTGTGATCTTTGTTAGCAACAAATGGATCCAAACCAAATTTATCCATCTACACTATCTCTTGACAACCAATTGCTTTCACATCTTGACAGTTTTGTGTTAAGCATTCTTCAGTTCTGTTGTAGACATTTTCAGATTACAGTATTAGACCAATAGTCCTAGTACTGTAGACGACATGCAGAGTGATGATAGTAATGGTGGTACTGATGATAATTTTGACTTAGGGTGGTGGGGACTGGTTAGAGGTGGTGCTTGAATGCACTAGGAATTCCAATACATGTAATACTTACAGGTATTTTTGAGGCTGCTAAAAATTCAACTTATCCCTTGTTTAGCGATAATTTCGCTAAACGTTAGGTTTTCAGGAATGCAACCCCACCGTTAAATGTGTGATACCTATAGCGACTTGGGAAGCAGTTGAGATAACAGCAAGGCACTGATACCTATATAAGGCTTTTCAATGATGATCTATTCATTGAACACTTTAAAAAGTATGTACAATACCAGCATTGTGTCTAGGATGATTGTTGGTACCCTTGTCATACTGAAGAAGTGATGGATAAGACACGTCATTTTAATTCATGAATCAATCGAGTAGAAATACCTGTACTATAGGAGTGTTGAAGCAGTCATGCCCATTGGGTGTAGAGCAGACTGGAGAACAGTAAAGTTCATCTTTTCTGTATGTCATGCCTTCTGACAAATAGTGTTGCAACTACAGGAGGTGTAGGTGTTTCTCTTTAAAGACACAATGGAATGCTAAATTGTCAATGTTTTATGGTAGTTTTGTTGACTCCATCATATCATAGAGGTTAGTACATTGACAGTTATCAGGTTTACTTTCTTTTTCTTTGTGGTGTGTATAACAGGGACAGTCACATCCAGAGAAAGTGTGGAACAACTCCAGGTGTTTTACTACACCATCCCCAAATTTTACTTGCAATATTGAGCACACTGGGACGAAATGAGAAACTGCATCCCATGCACAAATTATCTGCAACAGACTTATCTGCTAGACTGACCAATATGACCAGGATGTCATTATCTGTGCCGGTTAATATGACAGGTCTTACATTTACTGCAATTAAATGGGTGTACCCTCTCTGTCTGGTGAGTTTTGATGTTTTATTGATCTAACTTGTTTTTAATGATTGTGATGAACCATGTTTTGTTGCACAAATTGGAGAGATGTTTGGCTTGCTCGACAGTTGAAATCATACGTGTACCAAATAACACCTCCTGGGTCATAGCTTTGTTAAAGCGATGGTGGTGCTTAGTGGCCTTAGATGAAGATGCTGTCGGCACATAGCCATCAAAGATGTAGCTGTCAATAAGTTGTTGATTGTGTTAGCCACTTGATACAGTAAAGTAAGTGAATGCTATCTGTAATAAAGTCCAGGTTCAGGTCCTTGCTGACATCCACCTCTTTCACATTTTGTGTCAGCAAGACAGGCAATTTACTATTTGTGTCCTTTCTGAGGAGTGCTATCTGGTCTCGGCAGCTGATCCCTTGAACTGAGCAAACTCCAAAATATATGAAGCTTGCATATTGTGGTGGGGTGTTTAAACACTGGAACTTAGAAAAATTGGAACTAGATTAAGTCTAAATACTATTTTACAATGCTGATAACTTTTTCACTCCACTCTTTTTAACATAAGTATATAATTATATAATATTGCATATTATCACAAATATTTATTAAGCAAAGGATGGGTGGAATATAAATAAATATTACCATAATCTCTTTGTTGGAAAACAACAAAATTGTGACGTGGTCGCTGAGTAAAACTAGCTGACCAAGGCCCTTCACCCTGATCCTTGCATATTTCACTTTTATCCTTAATATATTCCATTCTTTAAAGTATCAATGTGACCTGAGCAGCAATAAGCACCCAGGGCACTGCACCTGTTCCATGAATTCGTAACCATAAAGAAACAGCTGTAAGACAAAAGTTAGTTAAAAAGGCAGCTTAAAATTATGGTGGTATAAATAATAAATACAGTAGTACCCCGCTTAACGCGGTCAATTGAACCCACAGGGTACCGCGTTAAGTGAAAACCGCGTTAAGTGAACAACAG